AAGAAGAAAAAGAAGGGAACTGCATTTCCATAAATGTTATATCCAGACCATCTATCTCCCTAGAAGACAAAGAACTGGCCAAACAATATACACTATGTGTAGTTTTAAGATACTGAGAAATACCAAGAATATAAACAAATGTTTGCTAAATGACTACTAAAGCTAACTAACTGTATGTCTACCTATTGGTCAACAGTTCCATTCCTAGGGAAAGCCAAAAGGAAGAAGTCCATATATCCAACAAACTACACAAGTAAAAATGTTCACAGCAGCTCTATTATAGCACCCAGTAACTGAGGACAACCTAATTGCCTATTAAAAGTAGAATGGATAAACTAATAAGTAGTCATGGATTAGGCCACCAATGTGGCAATCTGATAATAGTTACTGCAATATGATCCTGCATGATTTTTTTTAGAATCTTGTCTCTCCCAGTCAAGAAACGGGTCCCTTTACAAGACGGGCATTTTACAACTGCCTCAAGTAGTAATTAATGCACAATGGGCATTAATAGTTGAGAAGTGCCAAGTCTAAGTGTCAAAGACAATATAGCTTCTGTGTGCCTCAACCCCCAAGCTCTCTAATCCTCTCCCTTTTTCTTGGAATCCAGCCACACAGCTCATGTGAGCAACCTCAAGCCATACTGCTAGGCTGCATCTAAGTGTCATTATCACCAACTCTCAGACAGAGAAGCAATCTTTCATACAATACTAGGCCTGGCCTTCAAGCAACCTGACCTGAAACTGAGGGAAACAGACATAAGCACTGCCCAAATTGCAGATGTGTGGAGAAAGCAAATAACCCCACTGTTTCAATCTACACCCCTGAACAATTTTTTAGGTAGCCAGAGTAACTAAAACAAATACTGGACAATAAAAGGAAACAGCTACATATAACAACATAAATGAAACTCACTTACACGATACAATGTGAATGAAAGAAACCAAATACAACACAGTATCTGTTGTATGACATTATGTCTATAAAAAAAAAACTAAAAGAGGCAAGACTAACCCATGGTGATAGAAAATTAAGACCTAGCTAGATACAAGGCAGAAAGAGGATACTGATTGGAAACAATTGTAATAAACCTCTGGGGGCACATGAAATACTCTACAGATTGAACTGAGTTAAATTACAGTTAATTACATTATTAAAAATCTTCATGACATGCATTTAAGACTAGTAATACACACTGTAGTATGCACACTATATACTTTTTTTAAAAGGATATATCCAAGAACTGACAAGATACTAGAGGAGAGAGCAAACACAGTCCAGAAAGAGATTAAGGATCCAAAATGGAGAGCATAGCACCCTTGGGCTTCTTTATCCCAGGGAAACTGCTGCCCTGATCAAAACAAGTGCCTGAGATTTTACACTGCACTAGAGAAGGCAAAGTGTCACAGTATGAGAAATATCAAGTGAACCATCCCCTGATTTCAACTAAGAACTTAGAAATACTCAAATCCCAAAGAAAGAACAACTTGGAAGTAAACTAAACCCAAGCATAAACTATGGGGAGTAGGGAGACAGGAGGATGCCTGGGCTCACTGGACACCCAACCCAGCTCAGTTACTATGTACACTCCCTCCTCACCCTCAAAATATCCTAATGTTACAGAGGAATTTTTTTTTTTTAAACTAAGTCATGAGATGGTAAAACCTGTAAATAACACTAGCCAGTGGAGAATCGTCCCTGTGACTCCAATGCCCACACCCTCTAATCCCTGTATACATGGAAGTGTGCTACAGGTCAGACGCTCTTCAAATTGCAATTCTTATGTTGACTGTAAACATAGGTACAAACCTTTTTAGAGGGGAAAATAATTCTCTAATATATAATTAGATCACATTTTACAGATGGAAAAATGCTTTTCACAAATTACACTGAAGGGACAAACTGTGAGTCTATGATAATTAGTCTGAATTGCACTAGTTACAAAACAAGGATGGTTAAGGTAGAATTAAACTCAAAATCCAGAAAATGTCTCATTCTATCTGAAGTAGCAATTCTTAGTTTTGGTATTCTAACTTTTTTTGGCTGACTTCCTAAAACTTCCTTAACATTCCTTAACTTTTTGTTTCGTTTTGTGGGGTTTCCCCCCCCCCAAGACAGGGTTTTCTCTGGTAGATCTGTAGACCAGGCTGGCCTCGGAGGACTCACAGAGTCTGCCTGCCTCTGCCTCCCGAGTGCTGGGAGTGCTGAGATTGGCCAGGCGTGTGCCACCACTGCCGGCTTAACATTCCTTTACTTTTCAATAATTTTGTTCTCTATTGGCTACAGGTTGAACTCACTGGCTTTCTTCAACCATCTTTATGGCTACAAACTATCACAATAATTTGAAGATGGCAAAGATAGACCAGTGCCATCTGCCTGGCACTGGAGACCCAGACTGGATCTGCTGGTTCCTGTACAATGCTTGAAGATGATCAGTCAATTTACACCCAACACCAAGCCTTCTACTTACTGACTTGTTTAACCAGACCAGCTGTCCTCACTGAGGGTTGCCTGCCTAACAAAACACTGCTCAGGGAGGGATGCAGGACAGGAGAGACTGCTCAGTTGTTAGGAACACTTGCTGATCTTCCAGAGGATCCAGGTTTGACTCTCAGCATCCAGGATGGCTCATAATCACAACTCCAGATCCAGGGGTTCTGACACCCCTCTTCTGTCCCCCCTGACAGCAACAGGCGTACATATGGTGTTCCACACTCGAATGCGGGCAAAACGCTCATACACATAAAATAATAAATCTTAATATTTTAAAGGGGAGGCTGTAATGGATTATACTCAGCAGAACCAAGCACAACCCAGAGCTATACAGTTGAGTTGAAGGAAGGGTAAGTAGCAGCCAGCACCAAGGCTCAGGACCCAAACTCTGATGAAAGTTTGGCAAAGGATGATGCTTCTCAAATAGTTCTAAGTGAGAACTCACTGATTCTTTAACTAGGGACCCTATCCTTGCAATTAGGACTGTGTATTTCCTTCCAAAGTTAATTTACACTGTTATCAGTATAATTTCCCTTTTCCTTTTCGACGTATAGCTTAATGACCTGTGGAGGAGTACCAAACTAGGACCAATCATCCACCTTAAGGAGTGAAGGGTGCCATGCTTACAATTTCTCTTATAAAATTATGTGTAGAAACTAGAAGATATTTTATTAATTATGGGGTCTTAGGGAGTGAAGGAATGAGACACTGTTCACCCTGTGCCAGTTTATTGATTACTAAGATAACTTAAAGGAAAAAAATTTAAACTCCACTAGTGCCCCCTTCAACACCCCCGACAAAAACTTTGCAGAGATTCAAGATGGGAAAGAACTGGCCAGAGGTGATCTCAAACGTCCTGAAAAACTTTTCTAAACTATGAAATATTAACTGTCTCATAGATAGTAGATAGACAGACAGACAGACAAATAGATAGGTGGATAAATGATACGTACAAGGAAGGAAGGAAAAGAGGGAAAAAAACCTGATCCACGATTGAATTTCTTCCAGCAAGAATATTTAGGACACTGTCCTTACTACTTGCATTCATGTCACATTATTCTTAAAGACTGGGTATTGGCCCGATTCACCGAGTCTTTCCAATCCATATGGCACAAAGCATATTAAAGTCATCTAAAATTTTCTATGAAATGAATGAGGAGAATCTACTAACGCACACTTTATTCGAAAATGTGATGTCAGCAAACCTTTAAAATAAAATAAATATTTGTTGATTAAACAAGGGGTGGCTAAATAGAGCCCAGAGATATCCAATGCTCAACTTGTATGAACGTCCCACCATGGAGTCAGATTTGTCGTTTGCGGGCATTAAAACACCTGCGAGCTCCGAGGTATCCTGTAAAACTTCGCAAGGGTGCACAGATTTCCAGGCTTTCCAGATCCCTCCCTCACGCCCATCCTCCCCGAGGCTGCTCCAAACAAAGTTCTTGCGGCATCCAGGCAATCGTTTTTTCAGAGAACGAAGTTTGCCTGGGTCCTGCCCCACTCGCGCTCCCGCAGGACGGCAACTGAAACTTGTGAGGGAGACACGTCTCCCCCAGGGACCGAAACTTGCACCAGGGTGGAGGAGGATGGCGGCCAAAGGGTTGGCCTCTCCGGGGGTCTGCACGCTGCGCTGGACGTTTCCCGGCCCCGGGCCCGCGCCCGCCCGCCTGCCAATCACACCGCGGACCCCGGCGCGCGCCACACTGCGCGCGGGCTCTGGGTGAGCCCGCTCGGTCCAGGCCGCACCGCCGCCGCGTGCCCTCTGCCCCGGGCCGGAATGGCGGCGTCCGGCTGCCCGGGGCAATTCCATTCGGGCCCCTCGCCCTCGACCCCTCCAGCCCCTCTAGCAGCGACACGGAGAAAAGGAAGTTACCTCAGGGCGGTCCCGGCGGCGGCCAGTCGCGGAAGGCCGAGCGGGTCCGGCGCGGTGGCGGCGGCTACCGCAATGCCCTCCGCCCCATTGTTTCCTTCCAGGAGGCTCCCGGCAAAGCCGAGCCCGGGAACCAGGAAGTTCCCCGGCGCGACACCTCCTGCCGCCGCCGCTATGGAAACGGCCCCCCGCCTTCCCCAGGCGGCTCGCCCGGGACCCCGCCTCCGCGCCGCCGCCCCGCCCGCTTCACCGGCCGCCAACAGTCGCCGCTGACGGCCGCGGCGGCCGCCGCTATCTTGGCGCGGGCAGGCTGCCCCTGCCTTCCCGGCGGCACGTGCGCTGCTCCCGCACTCCCGCCGGGGGCGCTCCCCGCCGGGCTGCAGGCAAGGCCGAGCCCCCGCCGCCCCCGTCCCCCCCCCCAGCCCCTCCGCAGGAAGCGAGGACCGTGGGCCGGACAGCGCCCAGGGTTTGCTCCAGAAGCACAGACGGCCTTGAACCACTGCGGTGTCTGACACCTGGGAGCAGGCAACAGAGCAGGGGGTGATTTCTGCATATGGGGCCCAACCTTGCCCACTGCACTCGGTTTTCTCTTCAACTCAGGGTCTGCACCGGTGAAGTGGGGTGGTAATCGTACCTGCCTCACGAAGTTCCCTGCACAAGCGAATGCTTGCTGTATGCACCATGATGATCTGTCAATAAAGTGGCGCTGTTACTAACACAAGGTCACACAGTCAATTTTCAGGCATTGATGTCAAGTGTTCAGATCGGCACAACTTTTAAGTAGGCTACCGTGGTGAGCCTTCTGCTGCCTAAAGACGTGTTCAGTGTTCATCTCTGCCCCATCTTTCTCTAGGTCAGCTTTCTTTTTGTGTCCAGGACGTTGTCAGGCGTCTTAATCTCCACGGTCTTCCATTAAAAGCTTCTGTGAAAAAGAGATGATGTAAACTATTCCCAACACTATAATTTGCTGACAGTTAAATGATTTATTCAATGGAAGCTACAAAAGTTTGGGTGTGCAAGTAACGAAAAGGCTTCTGTGCTTGTTTCCAGGAACTGGAATTACTAAAGCTGGCAACTCTGCACTGCTGTTACTCTCTCTTTCCTAGCTGGTGAAACCTGATGTCATGACTGCATGCTGTGTGCAATTAAGGACCAAAGGGAAGGAACCACAGGCTGAGTGGCAGTCCCTTCCTCTGCATGCAGATTTTTAACACCTGTGAAGAGATTAGGTCTCTAAGGCCCTTCTGTCTCTTAAATGTTGTCATATTAACCTTAAGTCCTGGGGGAGGTGGGCGGGGCCTGTGAGTGGAATCCAGGGGTGCACGCAGTGAACTTCGAGCTGCATCCCTGTTTAAAGACAATAAGATAGTAAGAATGTATTCTTTGGGGTCTGCGTAAAAACCAGGCTCACAGATCCTACTTTTGGTAGTTTGTTGTTGTCGTTGTTTGTTTATTCAGGTATGGGCAAAATGGCACAACTGGTTAAATAGAAAATCAGGTCAGAAGTTGGAAAGACATAATAAATGTTTCAGCACTCCAATATTTCTCCAAAAGGTATAAGATTCCCAAATTAGCAAAATCACTAAAGCCTCTCCGTTGTGAAAGACCCACCACCTCCATGTCTTTAAACACACATTGTACCCTGCAGATTGCAGCAGTCCTCCAAAAAGATTCTCAGTGAATTAAATGACCTTCTGTTTTAAGAACTTTGGGGAACCCCACAGAGGTTCAAGAGTACTCATTCAGAAATGTCACTGCAAATACAAAAACACCAATGACTTGGAGTAACACCCTTGGTCACTAGCTTTATCCACAAACTGAAGTAGAAATGTCATATTTTTGGTATATATTAGTGTAATAATACTGTATTCCTGAACTTAATTGTCCGGCCACTGTTGGCTCAACTTCACACTTAACATTCTGGATATGTAGATTATAAATATTTTAGAAATATATTCAATAATAAGGGTGGCTGCATTTCACTGAAAACTTATATAAATAGGAACATGTGAGCCTTGGGGTAGTAGTTTACCATCTCCTGCTCTAAAATGTATATTTAGATTATATTCACTCCATGATTATGGTCTCTCTAATGTGCTCCATACCAAGATGTCCTTCAGCTGGGGGGGGGGAAGAAGGGGAACAGCCTACAGTCAATAAAATACCAAAAAAAGTAAACTAAAAAGAGGAATAAATAGTTTGTATCTCCAAATGAAAACATTTAGAACTATCTTTTCATTTCACATGATGGAGAAAGAGATTGACATTTGTATTCATTTTTACCATAGTTATGTTTATACTAATGACAATATTTATACTAAGTGCAAAGAAAAAAGGTAATGCTAAATTTCCCCACAAGATACCATAATAACTAGCGTCAAGAGTACAATTTGTGGTGAGAACATGAAAATATAGAACATGGGGAAATTAAAAAAAAAAACCCAGCTTTTACTTTCATCTTCAAAAATATGGATGAAATGGAGTTAGTTCCTACCGCCTCCTGTGTAAACTGACAGTATGAATGTGGAATCCATGGATATATGGTCCACTTAGCTTCAGGGATGAAAAGAGCAAACAGCTCACTAAGCAAGAGGTGAGATGAAGGCTCTAGGGACCTAGCAGGATTCCTCCTGCAGTCATTTCTGAAATTCCCTAAGGGAATCTTTATGCTGACTAGAAAGTCAGTACTATCTACCACTGTATGTGATTCACCATGGTGAAAATAAATAAATAGTAAATAAAACAGACCAGTCAACACCCATAGACCAAATGCCATTAGAAAAAGCCACATCCACATGGTTTGTGTTATGTTCCTTTAAAATAAAAAAAATAAATTTTTAAATTGCCCTTCAAGTTCAAAGAGAAAAAGATAGATGGCAGAGGGATACCAACTGAAGATTCTATGGGTGGAATAATAAAGTTATAAGAAGCTGCATAGAGTTTGTTACAATGATCTGGGATGGTCTTACGAATAGTGTTCCAAGAGTTTGGGGGAGTCCTCCTATCTAAGGAACATGCGTGCCTGTCCTATTCTAATCTTTGGTCTAGTTGCTCTCTGGCCAGAGTCAGTTCCCTCTGAATAAATATGGAAAGAATGAAAAGAGAAGAAGGGAGAGTAAAGGAAAGAACATTAGAAGGAAAGAACACAAAGGTGAATCAATGGACCCTTGCCATACAAGAGAATTTCTACTTCCCTCACATACTCAAACAGATCTGTGACTCAAAAAAATTTAAGGATGACTTAGTTTTCAACTACCGAAGTTGTCATTATCTGCTTTGTGCTCACAGCCATCCTGTTCCTAATCAGTAAGACAGTTATCATGGTCTGCCAGAAAATCTGTAATGAGTCTGAATGAGTCTGGAATTTTTTAGATGTGTCATTATGCGTAGCTCTGGAAGACTTTGTGTCTGCTGACCTTCCATCCTGCCATACTTCAGCTTCCCTCCCACCAGCCTCTCAGGTGTACTGCCATTATTATGTTTTTGAGTCAGGGTTTCCCTGTGTAGCCCTGGCTGTCCTAGGAAATTCCACTCTTGAGCTCACAGAATATCCTCCTCTCAAGTGCTGGGAGGACCAAGGGAGTGTGACACCATCCCGGCTTGCTATGCCATTATTTTTACTGCATATAGTTTATCTCATTATGGCAAAAAGCATCTGGCACTCAGAGGACAATTCTCAGGAATTAGTTGTCTCCTTCTACCTTGTAGGTCCCAGGGACTGAACCCGGTCATCAGGGGATTGACAGCAAGTGCTTCCACTTTGGGAGCCATCTCACCAGCCCCCATTATTTACTTTTTTTAAAGTTTCATTAAATGGATGAAATTTCTAAATATTAAAATGCTCACAAGTAGAAGATATTGGAAATTTTGTCTTCATTTTAGAAAGTGATAAAACTTTGGCCTTCATGTACATTTTTCTCTTAGATAAACTTTTTAAACTCTATGGATGCTGTATGGTAGTTTTCCAAGGAAACCTCCGATAAGCAATCCCTACCAATACTCACACACTGTTAGTGACACTCCTCTTACATCTGCAATGGGCCCTGTTGACTCACTCTCTGTCTCCCAAAACAAGAGTTTGGTGGAAATGAGGCAGAGTGATCTAAGGTGGAACAGCGGAATCCTCAAGGTTTGTACCTGGGTCTGTGAAAAGCTTTGTAGACATCTCTAGAATTCAAACACTGTCAGGTAAAAACCCAGGCAGCTTGCACAAGGCATACTAGACAATCCGCCTCTCCTGAGCCTGCCACCAACAGCAGCCAAACTCAACATATGGCCACAGAGAAGGATGCTCAAGCAGTTGCACACCTGGATCTGAAGCAGAATAACTACCTGAGAAACCCTGGGTGATACTGACCTTCCTGGTCAGGTGGCCCGGGCAGCATGGGGAACCATAACAGCAATAAATTGCTGTTTTTATTTAGCAATGGAGTTTAGTAATCATTTGTCTCAAAACTGGAGGAAAAGCACACTAAATTAGATTGATTGGCTCAGTCAGCAAAGTGCTTGCCACACAAGTGTGAAAATCCAAGTTCAACTTCCCCAGAACCTATGTGAAAAAGTCAGGCATGATGGCACACTCTTACAGTCCTAGTACTGGGGAGGTGGAGACCAAGATCCCTGGGGCTTTCCTGAGTTCCAACCGTGCTTAGCATAATCAGTGAGCCTCCAGGACAAGCTGAAGGAACCCTATCTCCAACAAAAGCAAGTGAGGAACAGCCCTCCTGAGGAATGACATCCAGGTTAACCTCTGGGCTCCACACATTTACACACTGTGCAGGAGCCTACACCCTGCCCCCTTCTGCTGCCCACATGCCCCCACAAGCAACATTCCACACACTGTGCATGAGTCCCTCCCCACACACATGCATCCATAACCACATCCACACACTATGCATGAGTCCCTCCCCACACACATGGACCCATAAGCACACACGCACACACACACACACACACACACACACACACGCACGCACACACACTATGAACGAGTCCCCACGCACATGGACCCATAAGCACACACACGGGCAGACACACACACACACACACTATGATGAGGTTACACCCACACGCATGCACCCATAGCTTATACACACACACACACACACACACACACACACAGTGCTAAAGCTGTATTTAGACATATCTTGCCTACAGTGTTAATATTAAAGTGGTATCATCAAAGTTAGCAGAAGTGCCATGGACACAGGTCAAAGCTATGAAGCTTGAGAAAACGACTGTGGATTCTGGGGAATTCAAGGGCATCTTTTTTTATTGAGAAGTTTCTAATTTTGTCTGGTTCTCTGCTTTGAGGTGGAATGATACATTATTGGACTCTGTGAAACAACATAATGA